TCGATTTTGTCTGTTCTTCGGGTAGCTAGGTTAAAAGGAGGTTGTTTAATTGAAACGCGATGAAATTTTTCTGGCAAAATGTCGATATTGAAGGAAATAGAGAATGAAATCGTACAGAAATTAGCCGGAAGATTGATGTGAAGATCGAAGGAAAACTTATATCGAGAGATTGGGGCTTGACAAAAAGGGGTACTGTTGTTGCAGCTCCACACGGACTTGCCTGAAACCGACTGGAGTGTTCTACACCGACACCGCCTATCAATGAAGAATTGACTGTACCGGATCCAACGTCCTGCGAGAGATCGGACATGCTGCTGAATAGGAGTGGTAGCTCTCACGTTCGGATATTGGTGTAATGAACTGCTAAAATTTAATTTGCCTAATTTTTCTCTGGCGATAGTGACGAAGTATCAAGCCTTTTGGCAAGCTTTCAGTGTGCTTGAGAGAGTGAAATCAGATATCGCCGGTTCACAAAAATGAATGGGGTATATCCTATCTAATGACATCACGATTGAAGAGAACTGCATTTATACCTTGAGGGCTGGCAAATTACGAAGAGCAACTATGAGCATGCAAACATTTTGCAGACACATTTGGAAATCCACAGCAAATCAATTAGCGTCACATGCCAGGCGCTGTTAAATTTTGCAAGTTTGTCCAATTAGACGTCGTTTTTTGTTGGCGCCGATTAGACTGCGTCGGCTGCACGAATGGGGGCGGCTAGGCGGAAGTTTGGAACTTAGATGAGCTTGGCCATGTCGGGGCTTGTGGCTTCGAATGTGGTCGGTGGGGCTAGGATGGTCGCGTGCCGTGTCTACCAGAGCCCTAAGTTTCGGTAGGTACGAAGCTGCTAGCTTAGTGCGGTATCATTGTTATAGTCAAATGGAAAAACTGGTGTCACAGATACGGAGCGGGATATACGACAATATCAATGGCTACACGGTTGCCGGCGACCTGGAGAGTTAGGCCATTTCATCGGGGAACGATAATGCGCAGTTTGTTAAGTGCCCCGTGATAAGTCAGGAATGCCGGGCAGAAAATACCTTGCAACTGCTCGAAAGAGCATCAGAGCAAATTTGGCGAATAGACGAGAATTTTGGACATGCATGAAGGAAAGAATTTGGAGGCAAAGGGGATAAGCCGAAAACTTGACATAAAGACCATCAAAATCTGAGAGAACAAGCCGTACAGACATATCGAGGAACAAACGAGAGCCTCGCCACGTTATAAAAGATGGAAAAAGGGCGAAAAAGTTCAGGTTATTTTTGTCAAGGACACTAATGCAGAAAAGTCGTTAAGGTGTACATATGCATCGAAGAAGAAATCAAATTGATTGAGGAAATCGTGGTTTCAATTGTTTGAGGATTGGTCATCGTAGCGAAAACATGCAGAAGTCCACCGAAGTGCTTCACTGTAAAAGTAAACACAATTCAGCATTGCACGAAGACCTAGTTATGGAGGAGAAGCGAGGGGTACCTGCACTGCAAACGACGGTCGAGATTCCGTCCAGATGAGAGAAATAATGTTCTTCCTCAGACAGCACAGACGTATGGCTTTGGTGCGATAAGAGCGAGAAAAGCTGGTGGAACGATCCTGTTGAACTCAGGCAGTCAGAGAAGCTAACATTTCAGAAGAAACGGGTGAAAGAACGCTGGGGTTGAAGGTCGAGAAAACAGAGACCGTAGACTTGAACACTTTCGGTTCAAATAAATATGAGAAGAAAAGTTGTGATGGGTAACGGTAATCTAGAAGTAGGAGAATGATATTGGACGTAACCGTAATTAAGTTCCCCCATCCTTTGTTTCCATTAGTACACCCAATAGATGTCACAGTTGCTCCACATTTGCAAGGTTGGCAACTCGACGATAGTTATTTGCGACATGCGAAAAGCGCATAGAATTAGTCATAGTGTAGCATTATTATTATCGCATAGTGAAAGGCGAAGTAAGCAAAGGGCGCAAGGCCTTGTTGCAAATAAGTGAGCAAACTCGGTTGGTTGCTTGTGGCCTGTTGTTTGTAATGAAGGTGAGATAAAAGCTCTTTAAATAATGTGATGAATTATTAATTGTGAGGTTAGTACCTTCGGAGACGAAATTACAGACTTTGTCGTCAAATCTGTTTTAAAACGGATTTTATACATCCTTCTTAAAACCGCGCGTAATGTTCCAGTTTCCATGGTTTACACAAGAAATTTTAAGGACATTGCTTGGAGATGACACAAAGTTTGTGAATACTTAACTGATCGAAAATTCTTTAGCGATTTGAAAAGTCTATATGCGCTGTTCAAAGCAGGGGTGTCCAACATACGGCCCGAGGGGGCATTTTCTATGGCCCGTTTAAAGTAAATAATTTTTTTAATTCTTCGGACCTTGAGCTAGGTCTGATGACCTTGAGTATATTTCTATGATTCATTATTACGCATGTTTTCTAATTGTTAGGCATACTTTCTCATGATTAGACATTTTTTCGCATCGCATTATTCATACTATGCATTTTTATAAACAGACATTTCTATTACAAAGCTGAATAGACCAAGTCAAAGCTACAATCTAAACATAAGGGGGGAATGTTAAAATGACTTTCTTTGCACGTCAACTACAAATTTAAGGTATAATGTTAATAAACTTTATGAAAACAAAAAATGTAACATTTCCCATTGATATCTTTTTCATTTAACTGTTTATGTAACTTTTAATGTAATTTTTCTAGTAACTGTAATTATTAAGCCATTTACAGTTCAATACAAAATTTACCGATGATTTACATAATTATTCGTCTGGCCCGCATGTGCAGTAATTTTTGTCCATGGCCCACCCAAAAATAAGTTGGACACTCCTGGTTCAAAGTCTTTTAATTTCAACAGTTTTTTTGGCGGTACAGAACTTTAAAATGGCTTTGAAAAAAGCAAACCTATTGGCTAAAAGCTTTTTCTTCTGACTCTCCTCAGAGCATAAAACGTCAGAGTAAGGGCTGAAAGAACACGATAAAAAATATATACCCAGTTGTGGATCGAAATAGGCCGAAAAATCCAATATTACAATAAAAAAAATTTCAGGTACTCGATCGCTAGAGATAGTATCTTTGTTTTTGAAGAAAACCAGCCCATTAAAAGTTGCAGAATTTTCAAGAGAAAAAATTTGATATTTAAACGGCGGAAGATTAGCCAGAGATTCTGGAACGCACTACTATTCGGGGCTTATCCTACCGCCAAAGTTTAGAAACCATTCAAAGTGCTGCTGTAGCCGATGGGTTTAGGCGCTTGACTGCCTTGACAGCTCTCTAGGCTCGATCCCGGCTCGCGGATGGCCCTCAGTTATATAGTCGAAAATGAATGCCTAGTTGAAGCATTGTAGGGAGTTAAAAGTTGCGTGGAAAGAAGCTGGCCACCTTACCACATAATACCGTGGCCCAGGAAGATGCGCCCCCAATAGCGCATACCGCAACGTTCGGTATACGTTCGAATACGGGACTAGCCTTTACCCTTTTTACGTGTCATCTAAGATTGATAGCATCACTGGAAATGTGATATTTGTCTGTCTGCTGATATTTGTGAACTGCAAGGTTCTTAAAAAAATACTGTTCGTTACATTTTTTATTTTAGTCAAACACATACATTAATTTATGCTGATACAAGATTTGCTGCGAAAGCCAATTCTTGCAGACCTCCAAAAGCTTTGTGCGGAAAAGCGTATTTTTCACGTTTTTAAATGAGCTTGTTCTGAAAGTTTCCAAAGCAACAGCTAGAAAGCGTTGTTTCCGAAATCGCATACAGTTGTAATAACTGTGACATAACGTCAGTTTAAATCTATTCAACATCGCGGTTTAAAGTTAGAAATGTAGATTGATGTTTAATGTCGACTTTTCAGGTTATCGGACAGATAGTGCTGAGAATGCAGAATTAAAAATATTCTTTTGAACTTTTTCTCTAATCCTGTGTCAAGAGCAACGCCAAAATGTATTTTTAACAACTGATGCAAACACTCTGTTACGTGGTTGTTCTCTCAACGAGATAGCTAATTGCCTGCCAGAAATCAGAACACCAACATAAATTTTGTCATTAACATTTGCTGTTTTCAATCTCTCCTTTTAAATAGCGTTGGGTTCTCTATAGAAAAGCACTATTCGAGCAGAAACTGTATTTCTGAAAACTAGGATGGCTACGGTGCATTTTTAACATTGTTTAGGGGCAAAGGGGACAATTCGGCTATCTCTACAAGGGCCGATTGAAGAAAGATCGAGAATTGACTGAAACTGCTTGGGCCTTTAAAGAAATACTATATTGTTACTTCTCTTTAGACACGTTTAGGAGCTTTAGCTATTTCAATTCATTGGCATTCTTAAAGATTGTTGAAACGGTTGCTAATACATGTAGAAAAAAGGATGCATTTTATTGCATCTGGAGCTTTAATAGCTTAGCAATGGTGAGAAAAGAGTATTGCGCGAATACAATCGATATAACAACTATAGTCCTAAATGCCGCGTCACTTTGATTTGTAGACATATATAGCTAAAAAGAACGGGCTTATAAAGCCAAAGCCAAACTAAACTGCACTCTTACAATGCGGGCAGACATGAAGAATCCGGATAGGTACCATGTTTTGCTGGATGTCATAACAGGAGAGCCTTCCCTGACCTTGGGCGATCTCTGATTCATTAATACAGGAAAAAAAAACTCCTCAACGTGTATGATCCGAGTGTTGGAGCGATCGAGTCCTGGGAATAGGGTGGTGCCCAGTCTTTCTCCCGTCGACCACTGCGTTGACAGGTCTTTCGTGCTAAATCGCTTCGGCACATGACCTCAAAGTTAGTTAGTTGGCTATTGCGACTGAGTATGTAGTAAGCACAATTTTGTTAAGAAAATCACATATATAATCTCACAAATGGAATTTCTCTATGCTCCGACCTAGACTTTACAACAATTGGCGCCCAACGTGGGGCTGGGGTATAAGGAAAATATTTCGAGCTGAATTGTGAGATTAAGCGAGTTGGAACGAAACGAAATGTCCACGCAGGAAGACGAAGTTGAACGTCGCGCGGAAGCAGGAAGAATCGAGAACGGAAATATGGAGAGACTGAAGAGAACTCGAGGTGGAAACAGGGCAGTAATTACGAGGTTCGAGCGAGAAGCGACTTTGATAATACGAGATCATGGTGATGCCCTTACCACGGAAATCCTAGCGAAGCTGGATTCGATTTTGTCTGTTCTTCAGCAGAAAAGGAGGCTGTTGTGTAACTTGAACGATGAAATTTTGGCAAAATGTCATATTGACGAAATAGAGAAAGAAATCGAAGAATCAGCCGAGATTGATGTGAAGATCGAGGAAATTATATCGAGAATTGGGGCTTGCAAAAGGGGTACTGTTGTTGGAGCTTTACACGGACTTGCTGAACCGACTGGAGTTTCTACACCGACACCCGCTATTCGAAATGAATTGACGACCGATGCAACGCCCTTCGCACCGGCAAATGGACAGCTGAATAGGAGTGGTAGCTCCTCACGTTCGGAAAATATTGGTGTAAAGCTGCCTAAAATTAATTTGCCTAATTTTTCTGGCGATGTGACGAAGTATCAAGCCTTTTGGCAAAGCTTTCAGTGTGCTGTGCATGAAAATGAACAGATATCGGCGGTTCACAAAATGAACTATCTAATGCGATCACTTGAAGGAACTGCATTTAAAGCCTTGGAGGGGCTGGCAATTACCGAAGAGAACTATGAGCATGCTATAAACATTTTGCAGACAAGATTTGGAAATCCACAGCAAATAATTAGCGCTCACATGCAGGCGCTGTTAAATTTGCAAAGTTGTCCAAGTTCCTCTGAAAATAAACTGAGTGGAACGGAGAGAGTAAACCGTACGCACTATAATGTATATAGTACCAAATGGTACAGGCTGATCATGCGGACCTAGGTGGGAGAGCAGCTCTATCGGAACGATAGTGGCGAGTTTAGTTAGTGCGCGGATAATGTCAAGAAGTGCCGGCAGCAAAATTACCTTGCAAGTGGCTCGGAAAGACTCAGAGCAAATTTGGCGATAGACGAGATTTGGACATCGAGTTGGGGAGACTAAGCCGAAAACTTACATAAGACCACCTCGAAAATTACGAGAGAAGCAAGCCATTACCAGAATATCGAGGAATCAACGAGAGCCTTCGGCAGTTATCAAAGATGGAAAAAGGGAAACGAAAGCTTCAGTGTGTATGTTTTGTCAAGGGAACACTTATGCAGAAAGTTGAGGTAGTTACAAGCTTCGAAGAAAGAAAGTCAAAATTGATTGAAGTGATCGTTGTTGTCAATGTGATTTGAGGATTGTCATCCGATGCGAAAAAAATGCAGAAGTCCCCGAAGTTGCTATTTCACGTAAAAATGCTAAGTATATTCACGTGAGCATATGCGGAAGCTAGGACCTAGTGAGTATGGCGCTGAGAGAGCGAGGGTTACCTAGGCATCACGCGGCAACCGGTCAATTCCCCGCAGATGTATTGAGAGAAAATGTTTGCGCTTCACTGGTACGCTACAGCAGCGCGCGTTGCTTTGGTGGCTGAATGGATTAAGCGCAGAACAGCTGTGTGCATACTGTAGCTAGGCAGCAGTAGAAGCTACTGAATTAAAAGTTGTTGAGGGTAGCAGACTAAGGTACCATAATTGCACAGTTAATGACAAAAGAGGGAGCGTGAGTAAGGTGAGAAAACAGTAGAGAAGCCGTATACCTGTAGAACACGTTACAGGAGGCCTAGCTAAAAAGTTAATTAGTTCAGTGAAAAAACGAAAGTGCGGATACGGGTAGATCGAAAAATGTCTAAGCATGTATTGGACGGCAATTTATGTATGTCACGCGCCGTGCGATGACACACACGACCCACTCCACCTGTATGTACGATGCCATTAAGTTACACCAATAGATGTAATATAAGACGCGGCTGATCCACGATTGCAGGTCTATTTGGCAGGAAACGTATAGGTACTATAAACGAACGATGAGTGCATTAGAAATTCGAGTAAGATAGGGCATTATAGATTATCAATATGTGATAGCAGGCGCGAAGTAAGAAAGGGCGGCATGGCCTCTGTGCCGAATTGACACTGGAGTATGCTTCTTCGATGGTAGGTTGCGGAATGGTATGTGATGATATGGTATATGGATAGAGAATACGATGTCGTAAGACTAGTTTACTGCTGTTAGTGAAAGAGGGATCGGAAACTGACAGAGACGAAATGAACGGAGTGAACAGTGGCAAGATGAGGTTAATTATCCGTCATGCAAGGAGAGTGATCAAATTTTTGGAAAGGCAAATCGAAGAAAGACGCCGGTCTTTTGAACCGAGAATTTCTGAAGACATAGGAAGACCGATGATGGAGGGGTGGATAGAGATCAACTTCAAGGATGGCCCGCTACATCAGGACAGCTAACGCGTTGAAAATAGGAATCCCATATTGATTTGTATCGGTAGCCTACGCCTGCGAAATTATTATGATATGAGTAAGAAACGGCTGTGAATCATTGTTCAAGTAAACTTAAAAACTAGCCGATCTTTTGAAACAGATATGATGAAATTTTCAGCAGCAACTTTCTGATGGTATTATTGAAGTAGGTTTCTCAAGAAATATAGTTGATAAACAAGGGTCGCGATTTCTACTGCTTTGTCACTTTGGTAGATGTCATGATAGCGTGAGGAAGTGAGAACCGAGACTAAACGAACTAAAGTATTGGTCTCAGGGCTATCCGGTCGAGCATATACACAAAGAGTTCATGCTCGTAGCCTAATGTAAATCTGGCTATGTGTGAAGTATAAGTTGTAGTCATAGGAATGCGCGCAGATGCCGTCGACTTTAACACCTTAATCGACGCACTGTAAATAGTGGCATAAATGGTGATGTCGACACGCGCGCATCAACTAATAGGTGCGCCACCAGTGGCGCGAAATACTAAATATCGGAAACGAGTGTGGATGGGTGTATGGCAGTGCGATGCCGTATCCTCAACAATTACGTTGGGTCGAGTGAGCGTAATATAGAACGAGGCGCTACTTAGAAGGAGTCCTTAGGGCTGTGACGCAGGCACTGAGTACGAATATGTAGTACACAATGGTCATTGTTTTTTGCAATTGCTAAATCCGGAAGAGTCCTAGGTGGTCTCGAGAGTCCAACTGTTTGTATGCGACGAATTTATCTTGTGGAGCTCAACCACACCTACAGAACCCCTTGAAAGCGGAGGAAAGATGTATAGGTTATCAAGATGGTAAGAGGGAGAGAAGTAGTGCATGTGGGATAGCTGGACTTTATGCAGCGGAATGTAGCAACCGATTGTCAGACGAAAATTGACAACGAATAGCAGCAATTGTTGTGTGTGTGTGTAATGGGCGTGTCACCGGTGAAGAGGACCGAAACATTTATTCTGAGTATGTCTTAGGGGCCCGCGAACAAGTAGTTTTGATAGGCGGCGTAAGGTAAGGTTTAAGGGCGCTAACTAGGACAGTGGCAAGTGATGTAGATCGAGAGTTTGTTTCAGTTATCAGACAGTTATCTTGTGTGTATAAAGATCTACAGTGTGTGTAATATGACGCAATAACGTTCTGTGTTGAAATTGGTAAGCGCAATATATTGACCTTTTGGTTGTTAATGTTTAACAACCATAAATCTGAGAGATACTTTCCAAGAACTTTGTACTGATATGTGTGTGTATGTATATTCCAAGGTCAACATAAACTCAGAGTTTGAAATCACTTAATAATCCGAAGCACCCGTAGCACTATTTATCTCGAATATGGGGCGCGGATAAGGAGTGGTTAGCTGTATAACAGCAGTAAGTGCGGAATAAGCGTGTATGTTTATAATCGTTAGAATATGTAAGTGAGATGAGGAGTGGATGGGGCTGGCGCATGATACGACGTCAGTCTAGGAAATGCTGCCTGGGAGGTGTCACTGCTATAGCTATGGCAATTAAGAGATTCATGTCTGTATAGTTACGAAAAAGATGTATTTTGGATTCAGCGAAGCCTAAGCAGTATGGTGTCTCGAGAAGCGACAAGGTTATGGTACGCGATGTGCGCCGATCAAATAACCACTCCAGAAGTTTAGGATATACATATAGGATAGGTATTCCGTGCAAGGTTGCGAGGGATAAAGTCAAAAGAAATGATTGCCATTGTCGGACAGGGGACTCATATTGTACGTTCGTGACGTGTTTGGAGCGTAGGGTATGGGAACCGCGTCACATTAATTGACGTGTGTAATATGACTAGTCGTCAGGGAGAAATGCTATTCTATTGAGGTGTCACAGTGCGTAAGAGACGAAGAAGTGATGTGTGTCATTTGTCCGGAGGTGAAATAACGGCGGAGCAGTAGCTGTGAGATAAATAAGGGGTTTTGTGCTGCGAGTCACATTCCTATTCATGTTCTGTGGTGGGGGGTACGATGTAAGTCCACGCATGTCGGATGAATTGCAGTTAAGGTATAAGATATACGTCACAGGAATAATGGAGATCAAGTCCCCTAAATGGACGAGTGAGAGTGTGGGTGTGCCCTGCGATATAAAACATGTCAGAGGATAAAGGGTTTATACAGGGCCTATCATTACGACCAGCCGCAATATTCAGCTTCAAAGGGGAGAATTCGAGAACTTATGTGATATAACGGGTCTAAGCGACAAAGTACAACTGGTACGAAGTGGTTTTGATGGGTTATAAGATGGATCTCCAACTTGAAAAGTGGGTACATTAGGTACTGGAAATAAATGTAGCGAAGGTTTAAGTCGTCCCG